TGTTTTTGTGCATTTCAGTTAGTGTTAAAAATGGAAATGCACCCCCATATGCATTAACCTTGCCAGCATGTCTTCACTGGAGCACAAAGTCCAAATAGAGTTGCGTACTTTATTTTCCACGAGTGTTAAATCTGCATTTTTTGCTTTAAATCCACTCTGGCCTTCCCAGATATGTAAAAACATAAATTTCTGGTAAATAACAGTGAGTTCTGGTGGTTGGCATTGGTGCCTCATAAACAAATCTAGCGATTTGTTGTGAAATGGAGATACATCAAGAGCTCCAATTCCTGACAAATTTCTAGATATTTTGATTCCCAAATAATGAAAGAATTGCAACCTCGCCAGGTGCTTTAGCATTGAAACAAATAAAGAGGTACGGTGGTATGGGTTCAATGGGCTGAATGGCCTCATTATAAGCTGCAGCTCACGATCCTAAAATGCATTCCTTTCCTGGCAGTATCATTATGCCAGCCTTGTCATTAAACTTCTTTTAACGGCAGAAGGCTAATGTTCAGGGTACATGATTTTTTCAAAACTTAGAAATGCAATTTCGATAGAGTTCCTTCAATGAAAAAATCTCTGGTGTTTGTTACATGAACAATCTGAGATGTCATGGGAGGAGCAGATGACTTTGAATCTACTTCTCCACATGTTCTCCTCGCTTCATATTAGGGTCTATTGTAGGCCTCATTAATAGAGATTGATAATGTGATTAGTCAATAACTCTACTGCCTCTGTATCATAAGATTACCAGGATGATACAAGATGAACTCAATGGACCTCAGCTTCCACATTTAGAATTCCTGTGTTCCTATAAAAACAGTTTCACTTTTCTTCACTATGATGATCATATTCTACAATTCTTGGCTCAATAATGTTTGCACTTTTCATACATCTATCCTGCCATTCATAAACTAGATTCTCAAAGACCAGTACTAGAATTTCCAAATAAGAACAGCAACTCAGCAAGCCTGGCAGCACTGTTTTAACAAATCAAAGAACTGTGGATGCTGCAGACCTGAAACAAACAAAACCAGAGAAATCAGAGATAGTAGGAGCTGCCGACGCTGCAGTCTGAGATAACAAGGTGTGGAGCTGGAGGAACGCAGCAGGCCAGGCAGCATCAGAGGAGCAGGAAAGCTGACGTTTCGGGTCGGGACCCTTTTTCAGAAACCTTCTGAAGAAGGATCCAGACCCGAAATGTCAGCTTTCCTGCTCCTCTGATGCTTCCTGGCCTGCTGTGTTCATCCAGCTCTACACCTTGTTAAAAACAGAGAAATAGTTGGAGAAACTCAGCAGGCCTGGCAGCACCTGTGGAGAGAGAAACAGAGTTCACGTTTCAAATCCACTGAACATTCTTCAGAACAGGTTCAGTTTAGATTTCAGATTTCCAGCATCCACGATATCTTTCACAGGATTTTTCAAACATAGCCTGGTTATAATATTTGTTTTTCACACTTAATGCTTTTTTGTCTCCCTCTTAATCGACTCTATCCTTTCTTACCAATGTTTTTCTCTGTCTCAATTTTGACTTTGAATCACTCTATGTCTTTTCTCCATCATTCACCCTGTTTCTTTCACTATTCACGTGTTTCATTGGTGAGGTGTTAGACCAAAGGACATGATGTCTTGAAGTCTCCATGTGAAGTTTGGTTGACCAGTTGTATTTTGTCCTGTTGGACATTCCAAATAACCCATTAACATTCAGCTAAGCACAATCTGGTGAAGGATAGGTCAGATAAGGCCACAGAGCCATAAGAGGACCACAGCACAGAAAAAAACCATTCAGCCCACTGGATCTGTACCAGCCATAAACAATCAGCTAACTATTCTAATCCCATTTTTCAGCATAGCCATATGCCAGACTCATAGTTGTATGTGCCTTGAATGTTATGAGTGTTTCTGCTTCCAGCATGCTTACAGGCAGTAGGTTCCGGGTTCCCACCACCCTCTGCATGAAAAAAATTCTCCTCATGTCCTTAAACACCCTTCCCTTTTACTTAAATCAATGCTCCCTGTTGACTGATCCCCCCCACCATGGGGGAAAAGCTTCTTCCCATCCACCCTGTCGATGCCCCTCACAATTTTCGACATCTTAAATATGTCCTCCCTCAGTCTCCTCTGCTCCAAGGAAAACAACTCCAGCCTGTTAAATCTCTTCATAACTAAACTCTCTAGTTGGTAAATCTTGATAGATTTTCTCTGCGCCGTTTCTAGTGCAATCATATTCCTCTACAATGTGGATGTGTGCAAGATCTCACACCTTTCTTTCCAGTGGGATGCTACTAGAATGTCCCTAATATTTTTGAGAATCAGATAACCTTTCTATGTAAGGACACAGGAAAGGCAGAAGAGCCTACAGCCCCTCGAGCCTCTTTTTGCCATTCAATGAGGTCAAGGTTGATATGAGAACTAATTTAGCATTAATCTCAGCATTAAAATTAGCAATAGGTCTAACATCAATTGTCATTGAAGGATTTGCCAGTTCTCTGCCTTTCTTTCTGTAATTTCAGTCCTGAATTTCAGTCCTGAAAGGTATAGCTCTAATTTTTAGACAATGTTCCCTTGTCCTAAACTCCCCAGATTAGTACAAATAATTGCTCACCATCTACCCTATCAGTCTGCTTAATAGCTTGAAAGCTTCAATCCAATTACTCCTGAGCTTTCTAAATCCCAGGGAACATAAGCTTAATGAAGTAAATTGTTTTGTATTGAAAACAACGTTCCTCCTGGCTTGAGGAAGCAGACAGAAAAATTGAAGTATCCACTTAACCCTGAACCACAGATCCACCCTTAAGCTCAGGAGGAAATCAGAATTGTAGCAAATGTCTGGGAAGTGAATAGAAACTGTACCTATAACAACAAAATAAAGTATTTTGAGAAGATTTAGAAAAATAATTTCTGAGTTAGCTGCAATGAAACCTGAGATTGAATCAATGTATTTTACAGGAGAGAAGGAGTCATTTAGCCCTCTTTGGTTTCCTTATCTATGAAACAATATAAATGCATTAGAAGCAGTTTAGAAAAGGCTCACTCGACTGATCCCTGGGATGGTGAGGGGGATGGTTATCTTATGAGAAAAGTTTGGACAGGTTGGGTCTATATCCATTGGTCTTTGATCTGATCAAGACACATAAGTTTGTGAGGAGACTTGACAGTGTGGATGCAGAAAGGATATCTCTTCTTGTGGGAGCAACTAAGCTTGGGTCATTGGAGGGTTCTCTCATATCAGACTGAGACGAGGAGAAATCTTTTCTCTCAGAGGATCGTGACTTTTCGGGATCACGGTCCCAGGGAATGGTGAAGGCGGTGTTATAGATGGATAGACGATTGACTGATAAGGGCATCTAGGGAGGTAGGAATGTGGATTAAGGCCACAATCAGATCAGCTATGATCTTGTTGAATGACAGAGCAGAAGAGAAGAGGGTGAATGGCCTACTCGAAGTTTGCAGGTAGGTTTATATGTCATGCCTATCTGCGCTCTCTGAAAGAGCTGCCTGACTTAGTTCAACACAGCTATTTCTCCAAAAATGCTGAAAATTGATCTTTTCCAAGATGTAACCAGAATGAATTACTGGGTGTGCAGTTAGAACTCCTTTAGGATGTTCGCCTGTCCTCCCACCTAGATTGCTGAGTGTTAGTGCATTTGCAGTCTAACTTCTCATCTTACACTGAAAGTCATGTGAACAATAAAGTACTTTTCATCAGGTCTTAAAGATGATCCCTGTCCCCACAGGAAAACATCCAATCCCACAACTCCAGTGCACGTTCCTATTTAAAGTGAGCTCCAAAGCCAAGAATGCATTACTTTCATGAAGTTAGCAGCCAGTAGCATCAGCACTGGGGGACTCAAATCACCGACCTGATCTGATCTTTACTTTTTTTTAATAAAAAAGGAAGTTTAGATTTACACCAAAGTTGGTAGCAAATTAGTAGGGATAACGTTTACTTGTAAATCATACTTCTGTTGACACTCCCTCACTTGCTTAAGTTTTTTTGAATAAACAAAGTGGAGAATATTATAGCAATTACATTTTGTTTCTTAAATTTACTTGGAGATTAGTCCTCAGGCACTTACAGTTTCAAGGACATAGTTGCAAAAGTAAACGGTCCAATTGTTTTGTTAGTAGAGTCACAGGGGTTTACAGTGCAGAAACTATTCTAATCCCATTTTCCAGCACTTAGTCCATAGCCTGTTTCTCTTACTATCGCAACTGTACATCTAAATACTTCTTAAATGTTATGAGGGTTTCTGTCTCTACCACCCTTACAGGCAATGAGCTCCAGATTCCCACTACCCTCTCCTCTCAATGTCCTGCCCCTTACCTTAAATCCATGCCCCCGTCATTGATCCCCTCCATCAAGGGGTAAAGTCTCTACCTGTCTATACTATCTATGCCCCTCATAATTGTATACATCTCAATCTTTCTGCCCTCCCCTCAACCTCCTCTGCTCTAACCCCAGTCTGTCCAACCTCCCTTCATTCCTGGAACTCTCCAGCCCAGGCAACGTCCTGGTAAATCTCCTCTGCACCCTCTCCAGTGCTATCACATCTCTCCAATAATGTGGATTAAGAGGGTTAGTTGGCTGGAAGGCTGCTTTGTAAAGCTGAGTGATGCCAACAGTGTGGGTTCAATTCCCATCACGGGTTGAGGTTCCCATCAAGGGCTCTCCTTCTCAACCTCTCTCCTCACCTGAGGTGTACTGACCCTCAGGTTAAACCACCACCAGTGGTCTCTCTCTAATGACAGCAGTCCTACCTTCTAGTAAGACAGTGGCAAATTTACCTTTATTTTCTAACGTGGATTCCAGAACTGCGCTGAGGAAAACTTTTTTTTTAAGTACCAAAAGTGAGTTTTACGATGTGACACAATATATTTACAAATTGCCTTCCTTGGGGGTGAAAGGCGACACAGCAGGGGTCTTTGACAACATACATCACAACTCTTAATCCAAACTAGACACGAGATGGAAAAGCTCCAGAGGAAGATGTACTTACATGTGTGGACAAGACGAGGACACTGAAGAGGGTGCCAGTCCACATTGGCAGAATGCAGGGCGCTGGCAAACTGAGCCCCATTGTAGCTGACCAAAAGACCAATCAGCCTCCTATTGTCTGGTTCCCGCAGCGATGGGCACTGACTGACTGTGTTTAAAGGAGCCGGCGCTGGGACTGACACATTCAGGCTGGAGTCTGAGTTGTTGCTTTGCAAGAACCGACTGCAGCATGAGTTTGCGGAAGTTATCCGGCGAGCAACGTGACTGACAAAATACACCCCGGCAATATGTTGCAGCGAGATAAAATCCAATATTGAGCCAAAATACACGCAGTCAACACAGGTTCCCTTTTTAATGTTTCAGGGGAAGTGTTTTTTTCTTTAGTCTAGCCCATAAAATAGATTTGAAAATGAAATAGGTATTGTCTTTGGGGTTCTCGGGGCTAATTTTCTAAAACAAACACAGAAATTCCTAGAGATACTCAGCAGGTCCCGCAGCATCTGAGAGAGACAGAGAGTTAAAGCCAACTAAACACTCTGCTTCTCTCTCCACAGACCTGCTGAGTTTCTCCAGCACTTCCTCTTTTTATTTATGGTTGCTACTTCAGGTTGGCAGTATTCCCGGAGATTTCTGTTGCATTGCATTCTAATTCCAATTTCCCTAACCCCATCAAACAGTCTTTTAAAGAATATTTTTATACCTGAAAAATCGCTTCAGCGAATATGAGAAAGAAAATCACAATATACTTAGTCGGTCTTTTGTTGTTTCTCCCAGTGCTCAGTAAATTTAGGGCATTGAGGGGTGGGGTATTTGATATTAGCTCAGCCAGCAATACCCCTAACCCCTCAATGATTAATTTAAAAACTCACTTTTCATTCCTGTGCATTGACAAACCAACTTCCTTTCCTCCCACTCTCTCCCTCTCCCATTATACCTTTGTGTCCCTTTCTTTCTCCCTTTCATTTTACATTCCTGCCACTATTCTGGATCTCTGTTCACCGTCTTTAGATGCCTGTTAACCAAGAGCCTACTGATGTTGCTAGTCAAGTGTTAACTGTGTGTTACTAAATGGTTTCTAGGAGGTAATCCTTGCTGGTTTTTGCATAACAGTTCAGTTTTCAACCTGAGTTCCATGTTGTGCAATGCCCTCCAAACACAGAAGATCATTAAAAAAAGAAGCATTAATCCTCTAAGTCAACCACAAATCTGAATGAGGAGACATTTATATGCCTGAAGCAACAAATTAATCTGATCATTTTGTATCCACAACACTGAAACAGAGCAACTGGTCCATACCATCGTTTATACTCCACATGGTCCTCCTCCAATCTCTGTATCATCTCATCCAATCCACATATCCTTTTTTTTTCCCTTTGTGATTGTCTAACTTCCCCTAAATGCGTCAACTTTTCAAACTCTCTGTGGCTGCAATTTCGACATTCTCATCACTCACCAGGCAAAGAAGCATTATCTGAATTCCTTCTGGAACCGATTAGTTTTTTTTATATTCATTTGTGGGATGTGGGTGTCACTGGCTGGGCCAGCAGTCTTGCCCACCCCTAGTTGCCCTTGAGAAGGTGGTGGCGAGCTGCCTTCTTGAACCCCTGCAGTCCTCTAGCTGTGGGTTAACCCACAATGCTATTAGGGAGGGAATTCCAGGATTTTGACTCAGCAACAGTGAAGGAACAGCGATATATTTTCAAGTCAGGATGGTGAGTGTCACTTGGAGGGGAACTTGGAGGTGGTGGTGTTCCCATATATCTGCTGCCTTTGTCCTTCTAAATGGAAGTAGTTGTGGATTTGGAAGGGGCTGTCTGAGGATCTTTGGTGAATTTCTGCAGTGCATCTTGTAGGTAGTACACACTGCTGCTACTGAGCGTCGGTAGTGGAGGGAGTGAATGCTTGTGGAAATGGTGCCAATCAAGCGGGGGCTGCTTTGTCCTGGATGGTGTCAAGCTTCTTGAGTGTTGTTGGGGCTGCACTCATCCAGGCAAGTGGGGAGTATTCCATCACACTCCTGACTTGTGTCTTGTAGATTATGGACAGGCTTTGAGGAGTCAGGAGGTGAGTTACTCGCCACAGTATTCCCAGCTTCTGGCCTGCTCTTGTAGCCACTCTGTTAATGTGATGAGTCCAGTTGAGTTTCTGGTTAATGGTAACCCCCAGGATGTTGATAGTGCGGGATTCAGTGATGGTAACACCATTAAATGTCAAGGGACGATGGTTAGATTGTCTCTTATTGGTGATGATCATAGCCTGGCATTTATGTGGCACGAATGTCACTTGCCACTTGTCAGCCCAAGTCTGGATATTGTCCAGTTCTTGTTGCATGTGAACATGGACTGCTTCATTATCTGAGGAGTCACGAATGATGCTGAACATTGTGCAATCATTGGCGAACATCCCCACTTCTGACCTTATGATGGAGGGAAGGTCATTGATGAAGCAGCTGAAGATGGTTGGGCCGAGGACACTACCCTGAGGAACTCCTGCAGAGATGTCCTGGAGCTGAAATGATTGACCTTCCACAACCACGACCATCTTCCTATGTGTCAGGTATGACTCCAACCACCGGAGCATTTGCCCCCGATA